AAATCGTCCGAATCAGAAGGTTCAGGTTCAGCCCTAAGTTTCGAGCAGAGAGGCAGAAGCCAGAAGAAAGGGAACCAGAACAGGAATCGGTCGAAATCAGTGAAGAAGAGGCCGAACTCGAAGGTTAGGTCCATCAAAGGGAAGTGTTGGAACTGCGGCCAGGAGGGCCATATGTCTTCGGTTTGTAAAGCACCAAAATAGGATGCGGGTGAGTAGGAGGCTCATATCGTGCAGGATGCCTTGATCCTTACTATGGATGGCGATTCTGATTCTTGAGTCATCGACTCAGGAGCCTCTTTCCACGCTACTGCTAATAGGAAACTACTTCAGAACTATGTAGCAGGGGACTTTGGTAAAGTATATTTGGGGGATAATGAACCTTACAATATTGTTAGAAAGGGCGACGTTCAGATACAGATAAAGGGCTCTAAGTGGAATTTGAAAAACGTGAGACACGTGCCGAAGCTGAAGAGGAATCTTGTTTCGGTGGGACAGCTTGGAGCAGAAGGCTACGTTTCGACATTCACCGGGAATTCGTGGAGAATCTCCAACGGTACTATGGTTGTTGCCCGAGGTAATAAAACATGAACTCTCTACCTCACTTCACATGCAAGTGACACCCTCGCAATTGCAGCTGGCAAGGAGAGTACAGATCTGTGGCACAACAGGCTGGGACACATAAGTGAGAAGGGGATGAAAATTCTACATTCACAAGGAAAGCTAACCGGGATCGACGCCGTGGAAGTCGGAGTTTGTGAAGACTGCATCTTTGGGAAGCAGAAGAGGGTTAGTTTCCAGAAGGGTGGAAGGCCACCTAAGGCTTAGAAGCTAGAGTTAATTCATACAGATGTATGGGGCCCAGCCAGTGTGTCTTCTTTTGGCGGTTCGAGATACTACATTACCTTTATCGACGATCACTCGAGGAAGGTGTGAGTTTACTTCATGAAGCACAAGTCAGAGGTGTTCGAAATCTTCAAGAAGTGGAAGGCCATGGTCGAGAACGAGACAGATCTGAAGGTGAAGTGCTTGAGATCAGATAATGGTGGAGAATATGAGCTGGAGGAGTTCAAGAGGTTCTGTGCTACGAATGGGATTCGCTTAGAGAGTACTACTCCAGGGACGCCGTAGCAGAATGGCATTACAGAGAGAATGAACAGGACCTTGACAGAGCGTGCGCGGAGCATGCAACTACATGTAGGTCTGCCTAAGACATTTTGGGCGGATGCGGTGCATACGACAGCCTACCTGATTAATCACGGGCCATCAGTTTTATTAGATTTTGTTCCAGAGGAGGTTTAGAGTGGAAAGAAGATAAATCTCTCACACTTGCGGGTATTTGGTTGCGTGGCTTATGTTCATATCAGTGACCATATCAGGGATAAGCTAGAAGCTAAGTCACAGAAGTGCACATTCATTAGATACGACATTGATGAGTTCGGGTATCGCCTTTGGGATGAAAAGAACAGGAAGATCATCAGGAGCCGGGATGTGATATTCAATGAGGAGGTGATGTACAAGGACAGGGACAATGCCAAGGATAGCCAAAGTAGTAGGAGCAGCACTACAGATACAAGTGGATCCGAGTACATGGATTTGGAGGAACTTCCAGATGGGGGCGACGATGTCAGTTCTGACTGGAGGAACTTCCAGATGGGGGCGACGATGTCAGTTCTGACCGTAGAACAGAGGAGACTACAGGTGCAGAAGCTACTACCCAGGGCGTGAAGCTTAGGAGGTCATCCAGGGTACCCAAACCAAATCCCAAATACCTCTCGTCACTTGATTATCTACTCTTAACAGATAGCGAAGAGCCGGAGTGTTATGAAGAGGCAGTGCAAGTGAGTGAATCTTAGCAGTGGGAGCATGCGATACAGGAGGAGATGGATTCTCTACTCACTAATGAGACATGGGAGTTAGCCCAGCTACCTGCACAGAAGAAAGCCTTGCACAATAAATGGGTCTACCGGGTCAAGCAGGAGAGTGATGGAAGCAAGAGATTCAAGGCCAGATTAGTAGTGAAAGGGTTTCAACAGCGGGAAGGAGTTGACTACACGGAGATATTTGTCCATGTTGTGAAACTCACAACCATCAGAGTGGTGTTGAGTTTGGTAGCTACAGAAGACCTCTTCCTTGAGCAGTTAGATGTGAAGACTGCCTTTCTTCATGGTGACTTGGATGAAGAAATCTACATGAAGCAGCCTGTTGGCTTCATTGAAGAAGGAAAGGAAGAGATGGTGTACAAGCTTAAGAAGAGCTTATATGGTTTGAAACAGGCTCCGAGACAGTGGTATAAGAAGTTTAATAATTTCATGCAGAACAATGGCTACAGAAGATGCAATTCGGATCATTGCTGTTATTTTAAAAGGTTCGAGTCCAGCTTCATTATTTTGTTATTATATGTTGATGACATGTTGGTAGTAGGACCATATTTAGAAGAGATAAACAGTTTAAAGAGGCAGCTAGCAAAGAAATTTGTAATAAAGGATCTGGGTGCAGCGAAGCAGATTCTAGGGATGCGAATCAGTAGGGATGAAGCTGAAGGGACATTGAGATTGAGCCAAGCTGAATACATTGAGAAGGTACTTCAGAGGTTCAACATGCAGAATGCTAAAGTTGTTAGCACACCCCTTGGAAGTCAGTTCAAGCTATCTGAGGAGTAATCGCCTAAGACAGATGCAGATAGAGAGCATATGAGCAGGGTGCCATATTCTTCGGCTATTGGGAGTCTCATGTACGCGATGGTTTGCACGAGGCCGGACATCGCTCATACAGTGGGAGTTGTGAGCAGATTTGCAAGCAATCCAGGGAAGCAGCATTAGGAGGCCGTGAAGTGGATAATACGGTACTTGAGAGGGACAACAAACAAACCACTATGTTTCAGGAGGAAGGAATTGGTACTGCAAGGATACGTGGATACGGACTTCGCCGGTGATCATGATACGAGGCGAAACACCACGGGGTATGTTTATACCTTAGCGTCGACAGCCATGAGTTGGGTCTCACATCTGCAGAAGATTGTGACTTTATCAGCTGAGTATGTCGCGGTGACTGAAGCAAGCAAGGAGATGATCTGGTTGAACGGGTGCTTGGAAGAGTTGGATCTGAAGCAAGGGAGATGAGTTCTTTATTGTGATAGCCAGAGCGCTATACATCTTGCCAAAAATCCAGTATATCATGCCAGAACGAAGCACATCGACGTCAAATACCATTTTTATACGCTCGCTGATCGAGGACGGAAAGTTGCATTTAATAAAGATTTTGGGGAGTCAAAATCCGGCGGACATGTTGACGAAGGCAGTCACCATTGAGAAACTGGAGTTGTGCGCAACTTCAGTTGGCCTTCACGAGTAGCTGGGAGAGCCTGGATCAGGTCGCGGTCGACCGACCCGGTCGACCGCCAAAACCCTGTAGGAAAATCTGGTCTCGGGTTTTGATTGCGATCGACCGTGCCGGTCGACCGCCAAACTCTCTGGAATCTGATCGGTCGACCGGGCCGGTCGACCGCGACGCAGTCAAACAGAATCCTGTTATGTTTAGGAATCTGTTTCACCCAGGATTCTATATATACCCCAAACGATTTTAGGGTTTGTACAACATAAAAAAAGAGAGCTTTTTGACTGCAAAGAGAGAGAGAGAGAGAGAATCTCAGAGAGATTAATCCCTTGTTTGAGAGTTTGTATTTTCTTCTTCAATTAATAAAGAGATTGTGTGGTGTGGCTCTCGAGGACGTAGACACGTTGCCGAACCTCGTTAAATCTGTGTGTTCGTCTCTTTTACTGTTTTTTGCAAGTTAGATCTTTATTTGTGGTTTTATTCCTACTTTCCTACTTTCAACACAAGGTCCGGAAGGGCAAGGGTTCGATTGATTGTTTCGAATCCCCAACACTTTTTTTTTCCAACTGTATTATTTAAGATGACGTTATTGATTTTTTTTTTTTGTCAATGTAATTTTGGATTTAATTTATCACCATAGGAAGTCGTAGGATCCAACTCATTCCAAAGTTCATCACAAGGAACTCTCATGTCAAATATGGCAATCAAAGATTTTCAAAGAATGCAATTGTCTTTTTATATATATAACATGCATCAAAGTATTCTAGTTCGTAATAATCAACAAGTAAAAATCACCAAAGAGAAATTCCAGGTAGTTGATGTGTTCTAATATCAATTTAGCGTTTTATTAGTTATATAATTACTACTAATTTTCTTTTTTATGTGATTTAACTATATTTGCAGGAGATGAAGGTGATGAAAGATTAACAAGCTTTGCACTTGCCCTTTAGTAATGCGAAAAATTGAAAAGTTTGACAAATTACTTTACTTCCAGTTCTTAGTGAGGAACTATATAATGATAAGATTCTAGTTTTTTTAATTAGAATTTATCTCACTGCTAAATAATGAGGTATCCTAGACGGAAAATTCCGTCTAGGATACCCAGAATTCCGTCTAGAATGCTTATTCTAGACGGAATTCCATCTAGAATACGCATCTAGTATGTTTCCGTCTAGGATGTAGTATTCTAGACGGAAATTCCGTCTAGAATACATCCTAGACGGAATATTCTAGACGAAATTCAAAACCGTCTAGAATACATCCTAGACGGATTATTCTAGACGGAATTTCCGTCTAGAATAATTCATCCTAGACGGAAAAAAATTCCGTCTAGAATGAGTATTCTAGACGGAAATTTCCGTCTAGAATACTCATTCTAGACGGAATTTGATGTTTTTTAATTTTTTTTTTAATTTTTTTGTTAAAAAAGACATCCTAGACGGAATTTGAGCATCCTAGACGGAATTTCCGTCTAGGATACTATGCTACAGTAGTTTTTTTTTTTTTTAGAATCTACTTTAGGTGCATGTACACAATATTGAACAACAAAAAATTATATTCATATCCAACACAATCTAATTATATTCCAAATACACAATATTGAACAGCAAAAAATTATATTCATATCCAACACAATCTAATTAATTCCAATATCAAATCCAATTATATTCAAATAATACATTCACCAAAATAGTAGAGAGATACATAAATTATTTAGAGATACATAATTAGTTTGTGGTACAACATCATCATAACCACTGGTTTTCACTTCTTTGGAAACCTCTTCTTTTTCAGGACTAATAACATGTACATGCCCATTAGAATTAACCTTTTCTTCTGAATTCTCCTTCCCGCGACCATCAAAGAATTTGCTTCTTGGGGCCCATAAATTCTTTTTAGCAAGAATTTCCCTAGCATTGAACTTTTTGTTCAAGCTATTCGTTCGTACTATTTTTCTAGTTGATTCCACAACTGAAACTGGATCAGGCTGCTGAAGGACTGAACTACTAATGGAAGCAACAGAAGCCCTTGGCTGAGATGATGATCGCTTGTTTATACTTCCATTACAAAATGTAGATCCATTCACTGGCTCAGAATTTGATGCTCCCTTCAAACCTTCTTCTAGTATCTTTAGCCTCAGCTTGAATTTATCCTGTAAAGGGAGGGGTTTGGGGGGTTAGGGAAGGGAAATATTTATTACGCATGTGGACAGTTTAAATGAGAAAAAAAAAATGTTCGTAGCATCTCCTACCCTGAGTTGAGTTTCAGTCTTGGCAGTTCGTTCTGATATAGTTAGCTTGTCTCTCAACCTTTGTATCTCTCCCTGCAGATAAAATACACGACTACTAAAGCTATTTGTATAACTAAAGCGTCATAGTTAAATAAAAATCAATTATATCTAGCTAATGATGTAGCCTCTATACGACATTTAAAGCATATAACTAGCGACAGAATTCACACATACGCAGGCACTACCTGCAAAAACCTGCGCTCTTCTATCCATTGCTTGACAGGCATGAGTTTCTCGCCTTCGTCTTTCCACTCATTTGCTACTGCTGCTGCCACGCGATTTGCTGAGACCTTAGTTCTAGCCAGTTCCCTTTCAAGAGTCTTCTTCTCTTCCTATGTTACAGTTTGGTAATAGCTTAGAATTCATAGAAACTGATACCACCGAACAAAGTTAAGCCTAAGGCATCCTTTTTCTGAGAATTCATTAGTTTAGTGCTGCACTCAAAAGAGTTGCAAATAGTAATAAAATTAAATTGAAAGTTGGGCCAGAATTTAAGGTTCATGTAACTTACATTTAACTCAGCGACCTGCCTCTGGTAGTCGCGGACCGCGTTAGCAACTACACCACCAGCAAGAATGGATTCCTCAAGTTCCCTGATAGTCTGAGAAAGACTCTCAACCTCCAAAACCTTCTGCCTGTTTGCTTTCTCTAGTAGTCTGTTTTCTTCCTGAGACATGGTAGTCATGTATAAAATATATTCGAAAGGGAGAAAAAAATGCCAACAAATTGTGGCTATACCTGGCATATCTCTTTTTGCCTCTTCAGTTCAAGGTTCTGGTTTTGCAAATTTTCTACAATCATTGCCCGTTCATTAGCGGAATGCAATGTTCTTTCAACTTCTACTAATGCTACATCTTTGGATTTTATTAGTCTCTCTAATGCCTTTATGTCCTCTTGTAGAGATGCAATCTGCAGTTTACAGACCAAGACACAGTAAAAAAAAACAAACAAACAAACAATGCTTTTACTTTGTAATTGTTGTCCGGCAATCTTAGTTTCATACCTCAATTTTGTACTTTCTAATATCAGACTCATAGGGAGCTATGATAGCCTCAACTGGAACGAGACCATGTATGAAATCCAAGTGCAGGAATTCTCAAGGTGTTTGCAAAAAATTATAAGATTGGAAACATATCAGACCCCAAATACATCCAACTAACATCAAGAATTGAAATTTCAACAAAATTAAGCATCTCAAATACAAGTAAGAAAACATCATGAATTGGATTTGCAGCTTCATGATTCTTAAATTGATATAGACCAAACAAACACCTGAGTTTTCCGAACAACCATATAGACCTTAGTGGTCTGGAATATGTACCAAATACTTCAAATCCTCTATTCCAGCATATCCATGTGTATGCCAATTAAATGCAAGATGTTGGGGGGAGCTCAGTTGGAACGAATGTCGTATCAGGTCCTGTGACTTTGTGAGCTCATGAAGGCTCAATAGGAATTTTAAAAATGTGGCTAGGTTCTCTATAGTCAACAAAATATATCGGAATTCGAAGATGGAAATGGCATGAGACGCACACAGCACACATAGACTTTGGCAATCAGAAAATCAGACCTATCTCACTAAAAATGGCTTCCACATAGTCAACAAATTAACAAAATACATAAAAATGAAAAGATGGAAATGGCATGACACTCACACGTACACATATGTATGCACTCACATCAAAACTAGCTTACATATAGTCAACACAATATACAAAAATTCAAAGACAGAAAACGAGTGCGTGCGCGCCCACCAGATAATGTGTAAACATGACAAACTACCCACCTTTCTTTGACAAAGGAATTGATATCCTCTGCAGCGTCTTGAGAAACCTAATCAATCAAGAAGTGAGTTGTAATAAGGGCAGAATTAAGTTTTCCAGAATATAGAAAAACATGCATTGACAAAGGAAGTAATGTCCTCGCACAAAAGCAGCAGTTTTCAACTCATAGACAAACACTAACTATATAATACCCCAATGATATCAGTAGTAAAATTAGAAAGTACAAAATATGTAAGGGATAAGGCTCCAATTCATATGTAAGGCATAAGGCTCCAATTCATAATTGAGCTTGTACCAAAATAGAAGTCATCTGACAGAACTGGTACCTACATGCAGACCATCAGTTCTCATATATGTTATCAACCCGGTTGCCTCCCCGTCTGAAAGTTTAATCCCCTCATACAGCTTCTGGGCAAGCTGTTGAATATATGTACTAGTTAGAGATAACTAAAAGCATAAAAACTGTCATCACTTAGAATACAAATATATGAGAAAGATGTTGACCTACTAAGATGTTGACCTACTAATTTGCCAAGGTAATATATGAGAAAGATGTTGACCTACTAATTTGCCAAGGTTAGGTTAACATGGAAAAAAAAGTTAAAAAGATTGCAGTAAAAAAAATGCAAGAACAAGCGCGTAAAAGCAAGTTGATTTGTCTCCACGACTGTTAGACAGCATGTAAACACCAAACAGGCTTTGATTTGCATGAACTCTTCTTAGAGTTGCTTCTGCCGCAAATTGTGCAGCCAATGCCTCTTTCTTCTCATTCATTAGTTTTTTGATCTCAAGATTCTGTGATGCATTATATATTTAATTTTATAAATAAATAATGAAAGCTACACAAAGTTGATAAAATTAAGAAAGTAAACTCCTGAGAATAATTGCCAAGCACCTTATAATTGTCAAGCACCTTGTCAAGCACCTGATAATCTGCATTATGTAGCATGAGGCAAATACATAACTAGAAAAGCTTAATGACATGTTATTAGCCTGTCTGGAATCTTCAGTATGTTGACTGAGTCAAGAAACAAAACAGGGGGGGTGGTTATATTTCTAAAATCAAAATGCCAAATGCTAAGATTCTGAAACAGCAACAAGATGAGACAAACTCACCTTCCGATTCTTGGAGCGTCATCAACAAAACACAGCTTGCTCGAGATCGTCGTCTCCTCGATTGTAAACTGAGTAAACCCCGACATTGAGTCCATAAACCCGTCGAACTTCATCCTCGAGGCGGCCAGCCACTGGAGGGCCGAAGAGGAGGGGGAGGTGGCGAAGGTCAGCAAGAAGGAGGAGGGGTGGGCCAGGGATAGGGTTAAAGGAGGAGGCGTGGGTCAGGGTTAGGGTTTCGGAGGAGGGGGAGAAGGGGATCGGGGAGAAGCTGGAGGGGTCGAGGGCGGAGGAGTGGAGGGCTGAGGTCGAGGAAGGAAAAGTAGAAGGGGGAGGAGAGGGTGAGGTCGCCGGAGAAGGGAGAGGAGAGGGTGTAGAGGGCGGAGGAGTGGAGGGCAGAGGGGGAGGTGGAGGGGTCGAGGGCGGAGGAGTGGAGGGCTGAGGTCTGAGGGCTGAGGGGATCGGGGAGAAGGTGGAGGGCTGAGGGGCCGGAGAAGGAGAAGTAGAAGGGGGAGGATTTTGGGATCAAATTTTGGGCTGAGGGGATTTCGTTTTTGGGGGGAATTGGGTTTTTTAATCTCAGCCTAAACATCCTAGACGGGAATTTCCGTCTAGGATGTATACTAGACGGAAATTTCCGTCTAGCATACCTGATTATATTTAAAAAAAATTAAAAATATAAGAACCGTCTAGAATATTATTCTAGACGGAAATTTTCGTCTAGAATAATTTATTCTAGACGGAATATTCTAGACGGAAATTTTCCGTCTAGTTTAATACAAACTAGACGGAAAATTTTCCGTCTAGAATATTCCGTCTAGGATATACGATTTTTTACTAGTGTCTGATTGTACAATTTTATTTACACAAAGATGTGAAATCTTGTATTAATTTGTTGAACATCTTATTGTCTTATATTATTCTTCTATGGGTTATAAGTTTGTTTCAATTACCTTTTTTGTCTATAATACTTTGAGTGTTGTATGAATTATTTCTCTTTTGAAAAATATTCATTGAATTCAAATATTTATTGATATTATATGCTCATTGTTGAATTAATAAATTATAATAACTGAGAATGGAAGATAAATAGATATGAAAAGAGTCACTGAAAAAGATTGCAGTTTGATAGGGAAAAAGTAATTATTTTTAGAGAATACTACATAGTTAAATGAAACGTGACGTTTCGAGAAATTTTTTTGAAGAAAGGAGTTAAGAAAAAAAAAACAAAGAAATATTTTTGAAAAAGGAATTTGAGGGCAAAAAAGGGAGAAATAAAGCTAACATCGCGGGGCTGCAAATGAGACTTTGTTGGCGTGAGAAGTCAAAAGTTCTTAACAAACCTAATGACACTTGTCAAAATGCAATTAGGTTTAGTAGGCTAGTGGGGCCCGGTTGTCGGATTTCTCTACAACTTGGGCTGTAGAGGAAGGCGCTACATGAACACCATCGGGCATATCTTCGATCACAACCTCCCTTCTAGCTACAGTGCAGGAGGTCCACTTGAGATTTTAAATGGGACCCCTGCACTGTAGCTAAAAGAGGGTTACGACCGGAGATGTACCCGACGGTGTGCCTGTATTAATTTTCGTAGAGGAATCGGAGCCTAGTATTCCTACACCACTTCTAGTTCTAGCAACTTTTGAGAGAAGTTCTCAAGCGAGTTTCGCACGTGTCACTGGAATTAAAGCATCACGTTGAAGCGGTAAAATTTCCCATTGACCGCCCCCACTTCCTGTCCCCTCGATTCAAACCTCCGCTCCCTTCTCCTCCTCCTCCCCACTTCTCGCTCTCAAAACCCTTCAAAACTCTGTCTCTCTAGAATCCGAAACCCTAGCGTCGATGGAGTACGAGCAGCGCCTCATCGCCGCGGCGGAGCTCGTCCTCGCCGGCGACCGAAGCGCCGACGGGGGCCCACTCCTGGACCCAACCGACCTGAAGGTCTCGGCGGACCTGAAACCTCATCAAATCGAGGGAGTCTCTTGGCTTGTACGGAGGTACGAGCTAGGCGTCAACGTCGTCCTCGGTCAGTATTCGGACGGCGATCGTCTCATTTCTCTAATTGATTTGGGCACTATGCTTGTATTCGTATTTATATGGTCTTATTATTCTCTTTGCAGGAGATGAGGTAAAACTGTCGTTTCGTCTCCCGAGATGAGTTTTAGCGACTTTTTCTTTACTTTACTTCTCTTCAGCTGCAAAAAAAGTTTTCATCTTTAAGCTTGGGCATCATACTTTTTCCAGAAATTACTGTTGTTGTTTGTTATATTTTAGGAAAGAATTTGTTTAGACCTTATGAAAGATCAATATATATGTTATACTGACTGCAAAAAGTTTAAATCTTTAAGCTTGGGAATTATATTTTTTTGCTAAATTGCCCGTTTTATTTGTCATACTAGGAAAGAATTTGTTGTAAAATTAACAGTTATTTGTACATAGTCCTGTGGAAGATGAATGTATATTAAACATTAACTAATGAAAGTGTCCCTAAATATTTTCAAAAAATTAGCCAAATAATACGACTATATGAGTTAGAGTATTGGATTTTTGGCTTTCCTAAAAATAATATGGCGGATTAGAAAAAAATCTAGCTGGTCAGTAATATTTGACACATTTGAGCTGAAGTAATAAACAGTACATGGATAAATAATGAATTCGTTCTATTTAGTTGGAGCAGCACGTAATCCGAACTGCTAGATAGGCACTTGGTTCTCTTGTTAACGTGATCCTAGATGCAACGTATATGAGGTATGACTTATGAGAGTCACAGCGTATACTTTACAAACTTCTGATGATCTGATATTTTAACTTTCTGCTATCAGATATAAATGCATGGAAGTTAGAAAGCATTATGTAGAATGTAGTGATCGTTGTTAGTTGCTTCCATTCGTGAAGAATTCTCCATTATGAGTAGATAATGCTCTCAGTGGATACTCAATTTGCAGGACGTTTTGAGTTACATTCAGTAGCTTTTAATACAGAAGATGGTCTCGTTTTTTTATTGAAGTGTAACTATTTGGTATGTTTTGGCAGATGGGTATTGGAAAGACTCTGCAAGCTATCTCATTGCTGAGTTATTTGAAGTTTCATCTCATGTCACCTGGGCCATTCCGTGAGTTTGAGATTCCCAATTGCATATTTTCACATCCGTTCATATAAAGAAGCTTAGTATTTCTCTATTAGTTATCAAAGTTTCATTGGTCTTGCAGTGGTATTGTGCCCTTTAAGTGTTACTGATGGTTGGATATCAGAGTTTACCAAGTTTTGTCCGAGTCTGAATGTTCTTCGCTATGTTGGTGACAAAGGACATCGTGGTAGTCTTCGAAGGATGATGTATGAGCATGTTCATGAACAAATTTTATTACACAATGTGAGTCTGAATTCCCATTTGGTCCCTATCACAATTATTTTAATTTTGTGGTGATTCAGTGGACAAGAAAAAAAAAATTTTGACCTACTTTCAATATGTTTTATTTTGTTTTTATTCTTGCTGTAACCTCTTATGTATTTTTTTTATTTACTCGTTTTCTGGGAGGAACCATCCACTATCTTATACATTTCACATCTTTATTATTTTCTTCAATTTTCACAGGCACATCCTGAATTACCTTTTGATGTGTTGCTGACGACTTATGACATTGCATTACTGGATCAAGATTTTCTTTGTCAAATTCGCTGGCATTATACTGTAATTGATGAGGCTCAACGTTTGAAAAATCCTTCCAGTGTATGCTCAAGCATCATTTTTTTTCCTTACATATTTTTGTACTAGCAGAAGTTCTCTTATAATGGTAATGGTTTCTCAACTAAATTTTATGTTCTCAGCTTGCCTATCTTCTTTAGGTTTATAATTCTCTGTTCAATGTTACCATATCATTATATTGCTGCACTTTTTGCTAATGGGAGAGAAGTTGCCACGATTGTATGCATGCTTCAAGAAATTAGATATCCGAATTTTCTATGACATTTAGCTGTAGAAAAAAATGATGAATAGCAAAAAACTGCTCGTCGCTTTCATAAGCACTACCTTTGTATTGCTTATGATAACACACGACATTCAGATGTGATTTTCATTTTCATGTATCTAAGAATCAAGTTTGATCTATCAACTTCATGATCAGGACTCATTTTCTCTTATTTGCACAAAGGATGTTGAGGCATGTTTTGCTAATTCCTGCGTGGTTGAAGTTTTCTCGCTTGATCTGGGAAAGGCTGCACTTGTGATATTTTTTTTTCCAGGGTTTAAGAAGTTTGATTAATACATGAAGCGGATAATACATAAAAGATGTGATCTATATTTAATCATTGTGTGGCTTGAAATTCGGTGTCAGTTCATCATGTTTTTTATCAGGATGTAAATACTGACGATTTAGAGAAGGCTAATTTTTGGCTGAAAACTTGATTGATGGTCGACCAGGTGATTGAAATAGATGATTTCTATCTGGACCAGGATCACACCAGGTAGTTTCAGAAAACCACCTCGCCTGACCCAAACATCTTAGCTCCAAACTGCTTAAAATGTATGGTGTCAGCAAACTGTTGCACATGTTTCAGCAACACGTACTTCTTTTTATATGGTTCTAATTAGTCATTATTCATTATGATATGCAAAATTTCATTTCTTTTATTCTGGTAATCAACAGCCAATTACCATCATCAGCTATTATTCATTGATGAAAGCATACTTCATTAAACGATAAAGTTTTTGCTTCAAGTAATATTTTTGTTGAAATATTAATAGGTTTAGGGGGGTTATTTGTAAGTTGTAGGGGCCTATATAAGCCCATGTTATCTCATTAATAAGATTAGTGTTTAATATATTTTCTACATGGTATCAGAGCCTCTACCCAAACCCTAGCCGCCCAACATCTCAGTCATAGAACTGATGAGAGGAGCTTGTTCGATTCCCTCGACATTTTAGTCCTAGAACTGATGAGAGGAAGAGTGTATATCTCACGGTGTTGAGATATATCACTGTCGATTCTTGTTTCCTTTGAGAAACAAGAATATAGTTGAGATCCTACTCTTGTTGTGCAGCAGAAGTGTTGCCGAATTTTTCACTCCGCACAACAAGGGAAGGAGAACAAGTAGTTGATCTAAAGCCTGATCGATGGAGGAGATCATCAAGAAGTTGAACCCCGCGAATGTCTCAACTTTGATGCAGTTGATGAACTTGTCGGCCGGTGAGAGTGCGACAAGGACACCGAAAAAGTTAGAGCTTCCACCCATCGATCTGAAGCTTGATGGACCAGCTACTTACCTAAGTTGGTCACGGTGGGTGAGATACACCCTTACAGGAAGGAACCTGGAGGGGTACTTGACAGGAGAGACGACAGAGCCGGCTGAAAGCTCAGCTGGAAGAGATGAGTGGCAATCCACTCATATGTTGGTGTACATCTGGCTCCTCAACTCATTGGTCCAGTCAATCGTCGCCACAATAGATGGCATCAGGAAGGTGATGAATGTCTGGGAGAAGTTGAGGAGGACCTATGATGGGGTGGGAAACAACCTAAGGGTGTTCCAGATCAAGGGAGAAATCGACGCCACAGTTCAGGGGGAGGGGAGAGGACTGTCCAGGGGTATGCCACAGAGCTGGAGCGCCTGTGGATGAATTATGATCACTTCTCATTTCGGACCAGCTACAATGACCCGAAATGTAAGGAACGAGAGGCCTTTCTACAGGAGAGGACTATGGTGTTTCTCAAGGGGCTGACATCGGAGTTTGCTCAGAGGACTGCATTTCTGCTAGCTCAGCCAAAGATTCCCACACTTGAGGAGGCAGCCTCGACCATGATTCAGGAGGAGACTCGTATTAAGCTGCAGGCAGAGACAGATGGACTTTCGGTGGTGAAGTTAGCACTGACAGCTTCCAACTCTGGCAACACTGGATCCAAGGGGGAGACTCAGCAGTGCTATAATTATGGTGAAGTGGATCATTTAAGACTTGCTTGCACCAAGCCACCTAAGAAAAGAGATATCGAAACGTGTGTGACTCAAATAGATCAACCTGCCCACCAACCTCAGGTATCTGTCACGATCAACTGGCTCTCCAGCCTCAGCATCCAGTTTGAACTTTTGATCGATCGGTGTAGTTGCAGGTTTGCACCCTAACATCCCTGTCTCTTTAAGAAGATCCAGTGCATACTTTCTTTGGGATAGGACAATCCCCTCTGCTCCTCGAGCTATCTCTATTCCAAACAGCTGATGACACATTTCAGCCAGTAGTTGGTAAGGGTACTGTCAATTGTACAAATTCTGTAACTTTGTCCAATGTTTTACATGTTCCCTTTTTTTCAGTCAATCTTTTGTCCATTAGTGCTATCATACTCCAACTAAAATGCATTGTTTCTTTTGATATTTTCAAGGTGATCTTTCAGGAGAAAGGGACAAGACGGAGACTTAGGACTGACACATGACATAGTAGACTATGGTACCTGGATCGTGAAGGGCTGGACTCAGCATTGGTATCTATGGTAGAGAGAGCAGGAGTAGGATCTGAGATGAGTGTTGAGAGTATGTTGATGCTTCATCACCAGCGTTTGGGATACTCATCCTTTAATGTTTTAAGTAGGTTGTATCCATCTTTATTTGAGAAAGCAAATAAGCAGAACCTTGTTTGCGATGCATGTGAGTTTGGAAAGCTTACTAGAAGTTCTTATGTAAGTTCTGGTCATAAGAGTTCTCGTGCATTTGACCTGATACATTCAGATATTTGGGGGCCTTGTTCCATAAGTTCTATGAATGGATACAAGTATTTTGTTACCTTTATTGATTGTTTCTCTCGCGTTACTTGGTTATACTTGATGAAAAATAAGAGTGAAGTGTTTGGTTGCTTCCAAAACTTTCATAGGTATGCTCAGACTCAATATGACGCTATGGTAAAGGTATTGAGATCTGATAATGGGATAGAGTATACTAACAAAGCGTTTGGAGAATACTTATCAGCTCAGGAAATACAGTACTAGACTATATGCTCATACACACCAGCTCAGAATGGGGTAGCGGAAAGGAAGAACAGACATCTTTTAGAGGTTACTAGAAGTATGATGATCTCCATGAATGTCCTAGAAACATTATGAGGACAAACATTGTTGACCGCAGCAGCGCTGATCAACAGAATGCCCTCGAGAGTGTTGAATTGGAAGTCTCCGTGTGAGACGTTGAACGGAGATAATGATGGACTTCTTCCACTCAAGGTATTTGACTGTGTGTGCTTTGTGAAGGACAATAGGCCATCTATCAGGAAGCTTGCCGCAAGAGCGGTGAAGTGCATCTTTGTGTGATATTCTGCTACTCAGAAGGGATATGCTTGCTGGAGCCCGGTGAAGAAGAAGCTGTTTGTGAGCATGGATGTGCACTTTCGAGAATTCGAGCCATATTATACTCGGAAGGTATCTTCATCCGTTAGTAACTCGCCCGATACTGGTAGTATGAGGTGAGAGGGGGAGAATGGTGAGATCCCAGTGAATAATGTGGAGAAATCAATTTCTGTATCGATTCTTTGTGAAGGAGAATTGGTTGAGTTGGAGCAGGAGAATGAAGAAGAAGAGAATGAGACAAGAGGTATTAGGTCCACGGCTCAGGGGAGCTACTTATCTATAGTAGGAAGGGAAAGCAAATTACGGGAACAGTACCACAATGCTACTGGTACCAAGTCCCTTGCCAATGCCTGTCCCCACTCCTGAGACACCTACACCACCACCAGATTCCTCCCAAGGTGATATCATTCCTTTATTTACTCCTCCTACACCAATATTAGTACATAGGACTACTCGCAGCAATGCGGGAATACCTCCTGATAGATATGGTTGAGATCTTGTCCAGTTTGTATCATATTTTAACATCCACCCTGTACATGGAGCATTCATTGCATCATTGGACTCTGTTACTGTACCTAACAACTGGCAGGTTGCTAAGAAGGACCCAAAGTGGAAAGCGGTTATGCACGAGGAGTTAGGGGCTCTTGAAAAGAACCGCACTTGGGAGTTATTAAAACTACCAGAAGGAAAGAGAGCAGTTGAATGCAAGTGGGTCTTTACGGTGAAGCAGAATCCAGATGGTCAGGTTGAGCGCTACAAGGCTCGTCTGGTGGCAAAATGGTACAGTCAGACATATGACATCGACTATGATGAGACCTTTGCACCGGTGGCGAAGATAAGCACTGTTAGGACATTGATCTCTCTGACAGTAAATGGTGAATGGAAGCTACACCAACTAGATATGAAGAATGCATTTCATCATGGAGATCTAATGGAAGAGGTATACATGAAGATACCACCAGGATTCGACACAGATCAGACAGCGGGTAATGTCTGCAGATTGAAGAAGTCTCTCTATGGGCTGAAGCAGTCTTCTCGTGCTTGGTTCGATAGATTTAGGAGGGCTATGATAGGTATGAGGTACTAACAGATGAACGCCAATCATACCGTATTTTTTCAACGGAGTGGATGCCATATTACCATGCTTGCGGTATATGTGGATGATATGATTATTACAGGGGATGATGAGAAGAAGATTGCCCAACTCAAAGTGAATGTTAAGATTTAGTTGTGAAGTTAACCTACACAACAAACCCGTAACCGTAACAACAAACCCGTAACCTTAACAACTAACCCTTAACCTTCACAACCGACCCGTAACCTTAACAATCGACCCGTAACCTTAACAACCAACCCGTAACCTTAACAACCAACCCGTAACCTTAACAATTAAACCCGTAACCTTCACAGCCGATCGTAACCTTAACAACCGACCGATAACCTTAACAACCGACCCGTTACCTTAATAACAAATCCGTAATCTTAACAATCTCCCAATACAAACAAAAACAATTAGTTTCCTCATCATCAATGAAAATAATAAAAAACAAAAATAATAAAATAACAATCACCTTCAATCATTTCAACATAATCACAGTAACATCATGATAAAGAGAGAGAGAAGGGATCCATAACCTTAACAATTGACCCGTAACATTAACAATTAACTCGTAACCTTAACAATTAACCCGTAACTTTAACAATCTCCCAATACAAATAGTTAGTTCCTCTCATCAACAACGAAAATAATAAAATAATCTTCATCAATCATTTCAACTATAGTACATCATGATAAAAAAAAGAGAGAAGGATATTATGGTCTTCACATATTTTAATCTCTTGGGTTTTGTGTTTTGGGGCTCAGAGAACAAAATATTTATTTTTTGGGGCAAAACACCCGTTGACAAAGTCTTGGGGGGGGGAGCAACGTTTTCTTCGGTTTTGGGGTTGAATCATTTTCCTTTTGTGTGTGTTTGTGGGGGGGGGGGGGGGGGGGGCTTTTTTGCGATCTCAAAGTTGGTGATAGTTTTCTCATACAAAAAGTTTAGGGTAGTGTTCAGTTCTGCAAAACCCTTATGATTTTATGCTATTTTTTTAAAATTTAAAAAGATGTGGAATGCCTTTCACATCAAAATTATTAGCTAAATAGAAGTGTTGTTTAGCATTGACTAAACTTAAGTGGGGATTGATTGAGGTTCATTCATTTGCGAATATATTAGTGGAGGGAGGGGAGTCCTTTTTCTGGGTTTGTATATTTACAGCATCAAAATTGTTAACTAATTAAAACTATAAAAGTGTTGTTTTAGCATTGACTGAACTTAACTTTGTATTGATTGAGGTTCATTCTTTTGCAAATAAATTAGTGAACGGAGGAGAGTGCTTTTTCTTGCTTTGTATATTCATCATGTAATTATACATGTTGTTTAAGGTGCTATTAAAACTAGCAGAAGGCCAAATAAAGGTCTATTCCATCGGATTTAGTAATTTCAAGTTTGATCATATGTACATCAAAACTAAGATATTATCTTGACCAATTGTAGTCTAGTTTGTATCTTGACCAATTGTAGTCTAGTTTGTATATTGTTTTTGCATGAATGGGGTATATTTATACACCAAATATTTTGTAGCCTATTTTATTAGTCTCGCACTCCTGTTTATGCTCTTCCATCTGATTTAGAAATCTATTGATTTTCAAGTATGTTGATCTGAACAATCAGAGTTAAATCACTGAATTTTGGTCAACCTCATTAAAATTCTAAGTCTAAGCTATGAAAGTTTGTTATTATTTTTTTAGGCATAACTATAAATTGGTTAACTACAAATGCGGTTTTGTAACTTTCAGCTCTTGAGGGAGATCACGATTTTCAGCAAAGCTGATGAAATTATTTTGGGGTCAATATCATTGTTAATGGTTATTCACACTGTATCAATGTGCTGCAGGTGTTATATAATGTACTTGAGCAGAAATTTATCATGCCAAGACGTTTGCTAATGACTGGGACACCTATCCAAAACAATCTCTCTGAGCTTTGGGCATTAATGCATTTTTGTATGCCATCAGTTTTTGGAACAATGGAGCAATTTATTTCCACATTCAAAGAAGCTGGAGATTCATCAGGTCTTGCTTGACTCAGTATAAGCTACCTAGGCAATTTTAATATCTACTTTTCTCATAGAATTTATCTTGACGCTCCTTGTTGATACACAATATTGTTTACTGGCAGCACATTAGCATTGTAGCACTCACTAGGGAATTCATCTATTTGAACTAAAGGAACCAGATTCTGTGGGAAAATAGACAAATAAGACCACAGATACTGCTGAGTTGTACCATGAGCTACTCTTAGGAGTCACTACATGCATTTAATTTCTTCATAGATGTGAGATACCTTCATTGTGTCTAGTTCTTGCAGCAGGGTTAGAAAAGGTTCCATGCTAACTTTAGATTCTTCCTAACACCATGTATCCACCCGGATTATTATCAAAATGGGATCTCCTTAGGTAAAAATGCATTTAACTCCAAGTTTAACCTATGCCAAAGGGCACTGGCAAAGCCCTTTCATCTCCTCCTAAGAGTTATGATGTAGACGTGGGATGCTATGACAGAACCACGAACAACACATCTCCTGTTTTCCTTTTTTTTGTGTGTAACTGGTTCTTTTTTGTGTGTAACTGGTTCTTTTTTCAGATGGAACACATTCAGTTTGTTACAGGTCTACAGATATTTCTGTATCTTATATTGCTCTTCTGTTTTTTGAATTTACATTA